TCATGGATCAGAAGAATCAATATTGTTAAAATGACCATACTCCCTTAAGCAACCCACAGATTCAATGCAATCCCTTTTAAATACCAGTATCACTTTTCATAAAACTAGAAAAAGAATCCTAATGTGTATATGGAAGCAAAAGACAACCTGGATAGCCAAAATAATTTTAAATAAAAACAACAATTGCAGAGGCATCAACATTGTCTGACTTCAAATTATACCACAAGAAAACTACAATAACTAAAACAACATGCACTGATACACAAATAAACAAATAAATCAAGGAAACAGAATAGAAAACTCAGCAATAAAGTCACATATCTACAACCAACTGATCTTAGATAAAGTCAACAATAATAAACAATAGGGAAAGAATATCCATGTTGCTGGAAAAATTGGCTAGCCATATACAGAACAAAACTGTACTCTAACTCTCACCATATATAAAAATTAACTCAAGATGGGTTAATCAAACTAAAATGCTTCCACAGACCAGGCATAGTATCCCAAACCTGTAAGCCCAGCACTTTGGGAGGTTAAGGAGAGAGGATTACCTGAGCCCAGGGGCTTGAGACCAGCCTGGGTAACTTGGTGAGATCTCGTGTCTACAACATATCAAAAAATTAGCTGGGCGTGGTAGTGCGTGCCTGTAGTTCCAGCTACTTGGAAGGCTGAGGTGAAGGATTGCCTGAACCTAGCAAGTCAATGCTGGGGTGGCCATTTCCAGCCTGGGCAATGAAATGAAACTCTTACTCAAAAATAAAAATAAAAAAGCTTTCACATAACAAAATAATAATCAATAGAGTGAACAGAAAAGTCTATGGAAATGGAGAAAATATCTGCAAATTAGTCATTAGACAAAGGACTAATAGCAAGAATCTACAGGGAAATCAAACATCTTAATGTGAAAAAAAAAATCCATCCAAAAGCAGGCAAAGGGCATGAATAGACATTTCTCAAAATGAGATACACAAGTGGCCAACAAACTTGTGAAAAAAATGCCCAACATAACTAATTGTCAGAGAAATACACATTAAAACCACAATGAGATATCATCTCAAACCAGTCAAAATGGTTATTATTAAAAAGTCAAAGAACAACAGATTTTGGCATGGATATGGAGAAAAGGAAATGCTCATACACTGTTGGTTAGATTATAAACTAGTTAAGCCCCTTTGGAAAATAGATTGAAGATTTCTCAATGAACTAAAAATTGAATTATCATTCAATCCAACAATCCCATTACTAAGGATCTGGCAAAAGTAATTCATTATATTAAAAAGATACCTGCATTTCTATGTTTATAGCAGCACTATTCACAAGAGAAAAATCATGAAACCAACCTAAAGGCCCACCAGCAATTGACTGGTTAAGGAAAACGTGACACATATACACGATGGAATACAAACCAGCCATAAAGAAACTATGTCCCTTGCAGTAACATGGGTGGAGTTGGAGATCATTATCTTTAATGCACTAATTCAGAAACAGAAAACCAAGCACCATGTGTTCTCACTTATATGTAGGAGCTAAATTGCCACAAAGATGGAAATAATAGACACTAAGGACACTTAAAAGATGGAGAAAGGGAGGGAGGTTAGAGTTCAAAGGTTACCTATTGGGTACAAATTCACTAACTGGGAAATGGGTCACCTGAGACCCTAGTCTCCACCGGTACACAATATGTCCATGTAGCAAACATTAATTTGTAACCCTTGAATCTAAAATAAATTATTTTAAAAAGAAAAAAATGAAAATATAATCTGAAATAAAAAAGGAACTACATAACTGTATATTTATGTAGGTTTAAGAAAAAGGAAAATATAATTTTCTGCATAATGATATCTAAATAAAATGTAGCACAAAGAAAATAACTATATGTAGGAAAATATAGAAGACACAAAGAAAACATCAAACTTAAAAACAAATCTTGAAAAAAATATGGTAAAAGTAATATCTGCACATCAAGATTCCACATGGTTGTGAGGGCTTGTATAAAATCTGAGTATATGTCTCACTCATGAAGGGAATAGGATCTGTCTTCAATCAGGAGAGATGAATACTGAGTGCTCTTTTGTCAAAAATCTCCTCCCAGACAGACCTTTATTAAGACAGAATCAACTCCTTTCTATTATTTCAATGATACAATTTTTAGTCAGCAGAACAGTAGATGGAAGATACATAAATATAGTCCTCAATTGCTGAGGAACAAAATACATTTTATAAGACACGGTAAGGAAGTTAAGAAGTTGTACTCTGGTGTTGAAATCCTAGCATGGTTCAATGACTGTGGGTCTTGGAGAGATGTCACTCTCACCATCAAAACCATGGAGGATAAGAATACCATAACATACCTGTAGGTAGGATGTCTCTTACTACTGTTTTTCAACATTGTACTGGAAGGTCTAACTAATGCAATATAATAAGTAAAGGAAATAAGAGATATACTGTACAGATCAGGAAGAAAGAAGTTTCACATGATCATAATATTAGATGCAGAAAAAATATTTGTCAAAATTCAACACCCATTCATGATTTTTGAAAATTAGAAAATTAAAAATGCAATGACTCTTCATAACTTAATTTCTTCACAAAACTATCAAATGAAAATGAGACTGCAGCCAAACTAAATTTTTGAGTGGCTCATTTGTTAGCTTAGCAAGAAAAGACGTTTGTCCATGGTGAGTTAATTGAATTGTTTGATTACAGCATCCCAAACCTATTCCCAAAGAAAGTAAACTTGCTTACTACTATTAGCATTCTGCAAGTCCAAAGATCATAGCTCTGGCAAAAGTATTATGTGTAGGGAGGGTAAATTCATATTTAGAGTAAGTATCTCTTGCAGTGAGAAAGAAACACTGCCCCTTACATGATGAAAGTGTTCTAATGTAATGAACCTGCTACCAGATGGCTGCTGATCACCCATGGAAATGGTGTCATACTAGGGACTCAGTGTAGGCCTCTGCTACTAGTAGATTGGACACTCAGCTGTGGCCATACCCAGATCAGTCTTAGTAGGTAGAAGTCCCTGTTACTGAGTCCATGCATAACTCCCACCCCTGCTACCATGGCCATTTTGGTCATGAACCCATTGTCAATGACAGGAGTGGCTGAGGAAAGAAGCTGTCTGGTATCCACAGAGCCTGCCATTCTGTCCACTTGATTATTAAAATTCTCCTCTTTTGAGGTTACCTTTTGGTGAACATTCATATGGCACACAATTATTTTGTATTGCCCATCCAGAGAAACCTAGTCAAATACATTTTCACCAGATATTCTTGCCATCAATCTTCCAATTATGTTCCTCTCAAAACTCTACACATCCAGCTAAACCATTGGCTACAGTCAGTGAATTGTTATATAATTACATGTTGGACTATTTCTCCTCCAAAGAAAAGTGAAAAACAGGGTCACTGTTTAAAGTTCTGCCCACTACGAGAATTTTCCTGTGGCCATTTTTCTTCAAGGATGTCCCAGAAAGGAGTTAAAGCACTATCACTGTCCACTTTCAGGTGATGCCTGCATATTGTCCAGACCACCTATAAACCAGACCTGAGTCTTCTCTTTCTCTGACATCTGATGATAGGGAAGTCCTTATGAGGCCATAGATGCAGACAGAGAGAGAAGCTAGTGTACCAGGACTGGTGATTATGGAATTTGAGCCACTTTTTCATGTAATAGACTAGTGCCTTTGGGGATTTCTCAGGCCTAATCATATATATATATATATATATATATATATATACATATGTATATGTATATATATATAGATATATATATGTATATATATATATATATAATAATCATATATCCCTTCCACATAATGATTAAGTGCTGCTGTTTATATTCAACTAATGCCTTGGTAGGTCAGACAACAACCAGTTCAAGGTGACTTGTTGGCACATGGTCAAGCATTCAGTCTCAACTAAGGCCCAGTAGTAGGCCAAGAGCTGTTTCTCAAAAAAAGAGTCTTTATCAAAAAAAAAGAGAGATAGCGTATTTATTCATGAAACATTGCTGAATTTGCTCCAAAATCCTAAGAGCACACACTGTGATTTACCTACAGAGGCTTGCCAAAAACTTCAAACAGTATCTCTATCTGCCACTGACACTTTAAACATTAAAATGGAGCACAAGGCCTAAGTTTCACAGCAGTTTTCCAACAGCCTGGACCTATTGCAGAGCCTTGTCCTGTTCTGGGTCCCACTCCAAACTAGCAGCTTTTAAGGTAACTCAATAAATGAGTAGAATAACATATCCAAATAAGGAATATGTTGCCTCCAAAATCCAAAGAGGTCCACTAGTATTGAGCCTTGTGTTTGATTGATGGGAGGATGTAACAATTTATCTTTTACCTTAGAAAGACCATCTTCACAGCCACCACACCACTAGATTCCTAAACTTTCACTGAGGAAGTAGTCACATTTTTGTTGGATTTATTTCCCACCCTTTGGCACTCAAATGTCTTATTAATAAATCTAGAGTATTTATTTCTTGCTTATTAGGATCAAACAGCATAATGGCATCAATGTAATGAACCAGTGGGATGGGAAAGACGATCAAGTGTGATGTCTTGTGGGATGGGAAAAACCCTGCAAACTAAATTAAAAAATGAATTATGATACCGAAGGTTTATTGTTAGTTCTGCCAGATTAAAGCAAAATGGTTTTGGTGAACTTTATGAACAGGAATGGAGAAAAATGTAGATCAATATGGAGGTGGCAGATGGACATTTGCTAGGTTGGCAAATCAATAGATGCATACCAGACACTAGGACACATGTCAATTTGCTCAAGCAATTTTGAAACTACATCTGGTACAATTGCAATCACCACCTGGTTAAACTTACAATAATCCATTGTCGGTCTCCAAGATACATCTGTCTTCTACACAAGCCAAATAAGTGAGTCAAATGGGAATGTAGTGAAAATTACCCCTCTCTGCATCCTTCAAGTCCTTTATAGTGTAATTAATTTCTGCCATTTCTTGAGGAATGAAGTTTATGTTATGGCTTGTAACACTGTGGGAGGAGCTCTGTCATACTGTTCACAGAAATAAGTGGCAACATCTTCAGGCTGCAGGTTGCTGATGGTGAGAGTGAAATCTGTCCCAGACCCACTACCACTAAACCTTGATGGGACCCCAGTCTGTAAACTAGATGCCCTGTAGATCAAGAGTTTAGGACGTTTCCCTAGTTTCTGCTGATACCAGGCCAACCAACTGCTAATGCTCTGACTCGCCCGGCAAGTAATGGTGACCCTGTCTTCTAGAGATGCAGACAGGGAGGATGGAGACTGGGTCATCTGGATGTCACATCTGGCATCTGAGATTGGAAACATAAAAAATAAATGTTGACACAATGAATCATGTTATTATAGAACTTCCCTGAAGTACCAGGCAGTATTGAGCACACAGGTTGAGCCAATTCCTAGCATTCTTCCTCCTTACCTGGGAACCAGAGTAGCAGGAACCCCAGGAGCTGAGTGAAGACCCTCATGCCCATGCTGTGTCCTGACTGGGACTAACACTTCTACTGGATGTGACCAGCTTATTAATAAGTCTTGAGCAGTGGGCTATGCTTTGGGAACATGCAAATCAGCAGGAGATGGGGCAGGCTGGGCACAGCTGCAGAGTTGACTCATTTCAGTAACTCAGCACAGTTGCAGTGTCCCCAGGTGTCCTAGGTCAGAACATGGAAGCATAGATTTACCTGCAGAGACCCTGTTCTTTCCTAGAGGTCACAGGACAGAATCAACCCACTATCTTGTGAGTAGGGGATTATTTCTTTCTTCTTCAAAGTTCAGGACATGCTTCTCTTGCTATTTCACAATCTAATACTGAGTCTATCAGTTTTGGCACAACCAAGAACCTGAAAGAAATTCTATCAGCTTCTTGCTTTGGTTACCTGTGCACATTACTGAGGCAAGAAAGGCTTTCCTGTGGTTAAATCCCTAAAATACTTGGTGTAATAAATTATAATTATCAGACCTGCAAATAAGAGAATGCTGAAATCCTCCCTAGAGCAACTTCTCTTGTGAATCAGCTGTGTTCCTAAACCTGTATATAACCTCATCACCAAATCTCTCCCAGTTCCTAAGAAAACACACTTTCCAATGACTGAGTACAGTGTGTAGGGCACAAGCAGGTTAAGGAGACAACTACACAAGAAGGTGAGGCTAAAACTGCACAGGGTGTTGAGTTTATGGGAATGGTATCCATGTGTAGTGGAAGGAAATATTCAACCTGATATGTTGAACAAGACTTAGATGAAGAGAATCTCTCCACCTGTGAGTGGAGGCACTGCTGACCCAGTGTGTATGAAGGATGGAGTGGATGAAGTGTGTATTCCCATGGATGTGGGCCCCAGTGTACAGGAATCCAAGCTCAGTGCGGATGGAGAAGCCAACCATAGAGAGGTGTAAAGTTAGTGGTGTCCTAGCAAGGGTTATCAAAGCTGGAGCAGGGAATGTATGTGTGGCAGAGGGGAGGTTGTCTGTAAGCGGTGTGCATGGCAGTGACAACAGGAGATTGGTTTCATTCAGGAGCATTTTTGGTCATATAAGTAAATGAATGAGAAATTATTAGAGTCAGGATTCTTACGGCTGGAGAAAAAATTGCAAATTTAGAAAAATACAACTACTGTACATCAATAAAAATATTTTAAGTGAGCAATAAAAAGGAAAGGGAAGCCATTGCCTTGCTAGACACTGGTGTGGCCATGTGCTTTTTGAGCTATAGCCATTGCCATGCTTCCTGGCTTTGGCCCCCTCCCTCACCTTGGGGAGGTAAATCTCTCTCTCTCTCTCTCTAATTTACACAAAATAAACTATATTTTCTAATCTAAAAAAAGAAAGGGAAATTATTAGAATAAACTGATTTGATTGGAAAGGAGATATCATAAACATACAGTTGTACATAGACTTAAATGTATCTGCATATTGATAAAGAGACAAATGATAAATGATTTGATTGATTAATGGATTTCCTTTAATTTAAATGCAATAATCTTTCAGTCTCAATGAACACGCACAGTGCCCCCATTTTAATTTCTAAATACTATTCACCACTAAAAAAAAAACCTCCAACAATCCTTGGAGAAATGACTGATTCCAGGTTTAGGATAGAAACTTTAGGAGAGGAAAAGTATAAAATGAGCTTGTACTGTCTTCTACCAGAGACTAAGGAGTCATTCAAATAATGATGTAATCATGGCAAAGGTGAAGAGGAACCATTTGGAATGGGTTCAATGGCCAAATCTGGGGAATTTTGAGTATCAAAATAAATGCAGGTAGCATAACCACTGAAGAAAATATAAACCCATGAGATCATACTTATACTTTAATGTAAACTGGGGTATTCATAAAGTATCAAGAAACTTTTCAACAGATTCTTATTAATTTCAAATAATAAAAAAACACTATGCAGTGAAGTATGACAAACACCACCATAATTCTGGAATCAATGCAAACATCATCAGTAACGGGACACAATGGGAAGAATGCACCACCTGGTAGAATGCTATGGGAAGAGCAGAGCATAACTTCCAGATGTTCCCACCAAAGATGCACTAGCTGAGTCTTCCCATACAAAAAAATTGAGAAACATTCTCAAAATAATTGGTGTGGTAAGATCATGATATTCAAGAAAAACTGACCAATGATTCCAAACTGAAGGAAACTAAAGAAACATGGCACCCAAAGGCAGCATATGATTCTGGGCTGGACCATAAGAGAAAGTACTGGGACAACTGTCAAATTTGAAATGAACCTAAGTATTAGATGATGTAATAAATTTTAATGTCTACTGTTTTCATATCAAGGTTGTATTGTAGTGATGGAAGAGAATGTTCTTGCTTGTAGGAAACACAAAGATTTTTATCTTACAGGATGGGGCTATCAGGTTATCCATTTATTCTCAAAAAGTTTAAGGGAAAAAAGTATGATTTTTTAATTTTATAAAAATATAGAAATAGTTCTTCAAAGTATGCTGAAGACATTTAAAGTGTCATCCTTAGTACTGTTATATGACTGAATCATTTACTGCAGATATACAAGATAACATTATGCTTTCTTTGTTGCTTATTTACATTTATTTACACATTTTAGTTTTCTATTTCTGCATTATACTTTGAAATAATTTTTAAAGACAATTTGAACAATTGATGTTTTCATCGGATTAGGCCTTTACATAATATTTTAGAAAAATACACATAAAATTTGGATAAAACCTCTTTTATATAGTCTTAAAGACTTTGGGGAGTGTCAAACTAACCAGGGAATGTATTCTGCTAACTTAAAAACTGTTTATTTGTTTGTTTTTCTTTTAATTGACCACTTGTATACCAAATCCTGAATTGTACTACACATCTTTCAAATAAATAAATAAATATTAAATAAATATATTATGTTTTCTTAAAGGCTGTGTCACTCACACATACATCACTGTACAAATCCATAGGTCTCCTTATTTCCCGGGGAACTAAATGGTCTGTACTTTGTTTTTAGTTACTTCCATATTCGACCCTCTTGCTCCATTGGCCTTACTTTCCACAGTTCATCAGTCTGAAGCCTCTAACTAGCCATAGCTGATTTTCTAAAAAGAGGGGGGAAAAAACACCATTTCTTCCTCACACTAAAGTGGATGACCCTGTAATTAAAGCCTGGATCAGGATAAACCTAAACCCTGGATCAGATGAGGTTCACTAAGTATCAATTTTCTTTCATATTATGATGAATACCAAAATGTTATCACCAGGTAATTGCTGTGAGTTGCAGAAAGGGTAGGGAGGAAGAGGAGTTGTGGATAGAGACTAAACCAGCTCTGCTACTAGTGTAGCAAAGCAAGGATGTCCTCAAGCCCTCAAGCAGAGGCTGCAAATACAGCAAACTCATGTTTGCAACACAGAGCAGAAAAGTTTGTCTGTGCACAGTGATCCCGATGTCATCTGTGTCAATAATGACCTGGAGGTCAACTGTTACATACAGTAGTATTTCTTGATGCATCTTTAAATTTTGCAAAAGAAAATTCTGAGAGTCAGACTAAAAAAATCTTAATCCAGTGACTCCTTGTATCACTAAGATCTAATATCACTAAGAACACATCCTTTCTCTGCACTCTGCCTACCTTTTTGCTAGTTCCATGTTAAAGGAAACTTTAGTCTGGATGCCAATAGTTCTCAGGAATTTTTTTTTTTTTTTGAGTTGGAGTCTCACTCTGTCACCAAGGCTGGAGTGCAGTCGACCTGCTGGGCTCCAGTGATCCTTTCGCCTCAGGTTTCCAAGTAACTGAAAGTACAGGCACCACCACACCCAGATAATTTTTGATTTATTGTGGAGACGAGGCCTTGCCAAGTTGTTTGGGCTGGTCTCGAACCTGAGGGCTCAGGCAATCCACTCGACTCAGCCTCCCTAAGTGCTGGGATTACAGGCTAACCCACCGAGCCCAGTCAGGAATTTAGTTTCATGTACAGTGTTCATTCCTCACATTCCATCAAGAATTTGAGATTCTCTCTACGTGATCAAGCTTAAGTATTTTCTATCCTTTGACGGATCACTGCAACCAAGGTGTTGGCTTTTCTGAAAGGCTAATTGTCATCCTGTATATCATACCTGAGAAGAAATCGGCATTCTCAAAGCTAAACAGTATGCCAGATAGTAACTGAGAGTTCTGAAATAGCAAATAAAGGTGTTGAAGGAAAAAACACAAATGTTCACACTTCCATCCGTAACCAGAGCTCAAGGAAAAAGTAGGTAGTAGCTTCAAAAAGAAGTCAATGCAAACTCAAGAGACATAATAGATAAAAGCTCTTTTTCTTCTTTTTAGCCTAGAAAGAGTCAATTTTAAAAACTGAAAAGGATGTTGGGTTCAGTAGCTCATGACTGCAAAGCCATCACTTTGGGAAGCCGAGGTAAGAAGATTGCTTGAGTCCAGGAGTTTGAGATCAGCCTAGGCAACATAGTGAACCCTAATCTCTAAACTAAATAAATGCATACATACATACTTACATAATTTTTTTACAAAAATTAGCCTATGTGGCACACACATCTGTAGTCCTGGGTATTAGGAAGGCTGAAGTGGAAGGATTACCTCAGCCCAGGAGGTGAAGGCTGTGGAGAGCTGTGATTGTGCCACTGCACTCCAGTCTGGATGACAGATTGAGACTACAACTCAAAAAAATAATAATAATACATGAATTAATTTTAATTTTAAAAAATGAGAAGGGAAAAGCAGAACTGTCTTCACTATAAATAATGTTAAACATATTAAAATATTATTATTAGTTAATTGTTTATGAAAAATATTACATTGGTTTTTTTCTCTAAAATAAATAAATAAACACATTAAAAGAAGCTCTGCTATAATTAGGTCCAGTTCATTTTTACATATCATGTCAGTGCATTGGTTCTGGTAACTGACCTTTGTATTGGGAGGCTTCATGCTGCAGGGACATGATGAATTGAAATTCTGTTATCATTGATCATAAGATGACTTGAATACCTAGAAATTAATGAAACTACATCTGAGGTTATTTTCCAGGAAATATAAGTGTTTAACTATACCAACTTGTTCCCTCTTCCTTTGACTACCCATGCTGAGGGAAGAAGATACACTGAGTGAACCTGGGTGGCCACTGTCCCACTTGCCCTGAGTAATGGCATCTCCAGGGAAGGAACTCAGAGGA